GACACTTCTGTCTCTGTAATTTTTGAAAATCCGGTGCGGATGTGATATTTTGCGAGGCGCATTTTGTTTTGAGAGTATAGATCTAGATCTAGACCTTCTAATTTTTTGCATCTCTCAAGAAGTGTAAATAGAGAAGGCCAATGACTTTCAGTTGATGTTAATGCACCGTCATTCCTTTCATCGAAAGGGGGCCCAGCTAGTCTTTCTTTATTTAAAAAAATCCTTTTGAAAGACTTTAGGGTAACAACTATGTAAAGCCTCTACTGTTTTGCCATGATGATGTGAGAAGTTTTGTGTTTTTAATTTACGTTTTCTCTTGCGCCTGCAGCTATGAGCCAGAACTCCATCCAGGCGTCACGTACAGAATTAAGGAACCCAGAGCAACCCTGAAAATTTTCTCAACTGGCAGTATTACAGTAACAGGTACTCAAATTATTTATTTTAAAAATTTCCTCGCCCCTTTTTCTTCCATGCAACCCTGTGAATTTTCACTGTCCTCTCTGCTTTTCTTGAGGTTACTGTCTTATTTTTATTTTATTTTTTTTGGTTTTCAGTTGATTCAAGAGTTTTTCCTGTTGAAATGTAGGTTTTTTTGGTCTTGTTATACATAAAATTCCTGTTAACATGAAAGGATTTCCAATCATTGTTTTTTTCCCCTCTTTGTTCTATGCATTGCAAAGTTACTTGACGTGAAATCTGTTTTACACAAATAAATTCTCAAATCTTGTCAAGTTTTAGTTATCAGGGTTTTATTGTAGTAATCATCTACACATATTATATTTGGAAAAGTTCGTCACTTTGGCCGTCTAAAACTTTCCAACCACTGAACTTTCGGATTTGACAGAATTAACGGTGGTTCAAAATCATTTAACGGGTGCACTGTTATAATATGGAGTCTGAAGTCACTGTAGTTTAAATTTTCGGTTTTTCATTAGTTTCGTTTAAATCCAATCTTGAGAAAGTTCGTCTTCTTAGACGCCATTGTAAACAAGTGATAGTTCCGTTCCCAAACAGTGCGTACTGGTTCCACAATGACTTGACAATCGATTCTTTTGAGTCCGTTCATCGAACGGGGTACCCAGCTTGTTTCTATTGTCTGTTCATATTAATACATGGGAAGTATAGCCCCCTTGTGCTTGACTCTTCTCACAATTCCGTTTTTTTATATAAATATGTGAGGCAGGGTCGTGGAATCAGGCTCTTGTCAATTTTGGGGCATGTAGAGTTATTGGTATCATTTTAAAGCTTGTTCACTTGTCTTTATTCGGATGTAAAAAATATCCATTTATCTTA